AAAAATTAGCCGGGCGTGGTAGCGTGCACCTATAGTTCCAGCTACTCGGAAGGCTGAGGCGGAAGGATCGCCAGAGTCTAGCAGGTTGAGGTTGCGGTGGCCGGGAGCGGCCACTGCACTCTAGTCTGGGTAACAGAGTGAGACTCCAACTCAAAAAAAAAATCACTCTCCAAAGAATTCGATTTCAAAACGCACCCAAGCCTCCCTGCCAGCTCCAGTGTTCCCTTCTCTCAGCCTCCTTGAGACATCCATACCTGTTTATTTCTCCTTTCCTCTTTCATGTCTGTCTCATTAAAATTCTACTTCCTAGCTGGGGTACGGTGGCTCATAATCATAATCCCAGCACTTTGGGAGGTCAAGGCAGGAGGATTGCCTGAGCTCACAAGTTCAAGACCGGCCTGGCAACTTGATGAGAACCCCATCTCTACAACAAATCAAAAAATTAGCTGGGCATGGTGGCATATGCCTGTAGTTCCAGCTACTTGGAAGGCTGAAGCAGAAGGACCACCTGAGACCAGCAGGTCAAGGCTGTGGTGGCTGGGAGCGTACCACTGCCCTCTGACTGGGGTGACAGAGTGAGACTCCTACTCAAAAAAAAAAACAAAAAAACTCTATTTCCTGATTCCAAGCTCTACTAACCTTACTTAAACTGAGATCATGTGAACAGGCCTTAGATTAGGTTTCACCATATAAACTGTAATATCTAGTGAACAGCTAACTATTTCCCCAGAAGCTCAGTCAGGAACATGCTTCACAACATATGCTCACTTGGATACATGTCTTACTTAAATTCAGCTCCATAGATACAAGTTGTTCCCAGATCAAAAGACAATTCGAAATCAATCACAAAAATGAAGGACTGAGGTACAGAAGCTACAAAGAACCACAAAGGGCCACAGAAGAACACTCTAGCACTGTCCACTGCAGAGCCCACTTGGGAAACTCACCAGCTGGAGCTATGGAAGGGGGTCTGCCTCGTTTTCTTTTTGGCTCCCTCAAGTTTTCTTGTGGATTCTTCACAATGTCATTTTCAGGTTTCTTATCCACTTGGGCATCTCCAGAATACTCCCTATCATTTTCTGAAATGTTCTCCTTATCTTCCTTCTCGTTCTTGGGAAGACTTTTCTCTGACACCTTTCCCTTTTCAGAACAGATTAACTTTCCTTCCTTATCAGGCTGCTTAAGTCGTTTCTCTGTCTTTAAGGTTTTGTCTTCTTTGTCTTTCTTCACGTTGACCGTAGCTTTTCTCTGCTCTTTAAACTTCTCTCGTTTATCAGGCAATGACGAAAGACTTTTGTGATCTGTTTCTTTAGGCCTAGCATTACTCACAATATTCTAAAATAAGCAAAATAACAATGAAACACTTTGTGATTACTTGCAAATACAAAACTAAGAGGTTTTTTTGCAAATTTATAAAGACAAATTAAAAGATGACATATGTCCAATTACATAATGCAAAGCACCACTGAAATATCCACCTGAACTAAGATTTGAGAACTGATACTAAACTTGAGAAAATTGTCATGTTCAGCTCCTTCTGAGACAGAGCAATCTTCCTTAGAATAAGTCACTAGACAAAAAATACTGGAAAGCAATCTTTCTGACAGAAATGTTCAAAGACAATGCCTCTGTGCTCTGTCCTTTTTAATTCTAGCATGACTATACTGACCCATGGCTATTTAGAGGCCTGATTCAGCTTGCCAGTGTATGGTAATACCATGTGTAGAACAAAAAATCCAAATTGGAAACTGGAGGCTGAAAAAGAAAACTGTAAAGACTGTCCAACCCAGAAATAGGTTCTCCGTTTCCTCTACAAGTAAAAGCTGAGCTCAGTCCAACAAGTCATCTACTGTGTTCTTGAGATAATCAATGGATAATTTTGTCCATTAGAAGAAAATACTGCTTTTTGATTAATTTGTTCCTAAATTACTTTCTTTAAAATCATCCTAAAAATCTTATGTCCTAGTGTGATTGTCTCATAATAAAGCCAGCTCTATATGTATCTCTCTTCCAAGACTTCAAGAGAATAGCAGAGACCACCATGTCATGTTCACACTAGGTACACAGATTTTTGTCAGAAACATGAAGAAGTAACTAAATACTCAATACATAAAAGTCTAGTTTACTCAATAAATTAGAAAACAATAAGAAAATATTTTTTCAAGTCACAAAAATCATTTTGAAAGCAGTCAGGTTTGAGAACAGGCACTCTTAGTAATGGTCAACAGAAATATAAATCACAATCACCCTTCTGCAGGGGGAAATGTTGGCAATTTGAGTCAAAAGACTAAAAATTACAACACAAAGGGTACCTGGTCCAACCACGAGGGGGGGGGGGTCAGCTAGAAGCCCAAACTTCACCTGCATACAGCCCATTTATGTAGTAAATCCTCACGTATACCCCAAAATCCTAAAATAAATAATTTTTTAAAAAAGACTTAAAAGTTTCTACCCTGAACTAGAATGAATTCCTAGAAACAGAATTTGGTAACAGAATAATCAGACTTATACACCCAGATTTACACATATCCTTAAGGACCATTTGGGAATTGGTCACACAAAGTATACTTACATTCATATTATACAATAATACATAGCCAATAAAGTCATATTCTCAGAATACTAAGGAAGTTGTAAAAATGTTATTTTGTAAAAAAAAAAAAAAAAAAAAAAAAAAGAGCAAGTTATACAACAGTAATATACCATGTCACCAATTTTGAAAAGAAACAGATACACATACACACACACACACACACACACACACACACACACACACACACACACACATATGTTTAACGAATACATAGAATATACAAAGTATATCAAAATGTTCAGAACAATTATGTCTGGAGGATTGGATTACAGAGCTTTTAACTTTCTCTGTGCTTCTCTGTACTTTTCAAATTTTCTACAACAAATATGTATTATAACTGTTGCTAAAATACAGACCATCAAAACATTTAGGGCATTGCAGTACTACAGAAAAAAAAATTCAGTCTATTCTAATACTATATGAAAAAAACCTTTAAAATTGCCCATGAATGCTATCTTTAGCCAAACTATCCTCTTGATTTAAAAAAAAAAAAAGGCTGGGTGAAGTGGCTCACACCTATAATCCCAGCACTTTGGGAGGCAGAGACCAGAGGACTGCCTGAGCCCATGGATTCAAGACCACCCTGGGCAACTTGGTGAGACTTCATATCTACAATAAATCAGAAAATTTGCCGGGTGTGATGGCACATGCCTCTTATCCCAGCTACTTGGAAAGCTGAGGTGGAAGGACTGCCTGAGTCCAGCAGGTTGAGGCCGCAGTGGCCATGAACATGACACTGTATTCCAGCCTAGATGACAGAGTGAGACTCCAACTCAAAAATAAACAAAAAAATTCAGGCGCCAGGGTATGCTTGAAGGCCTACCAGGACTAAGGTGAGATGCTTAGAGACCATTGGAAATTAAGAACTGAAGCACTGCACTCAGAAATCCTCACCAGGTAAGGCACCACCTCCAAGTCAAAGTACAGAGTACTAACAGCCAACTCATTAAGTAGAGCAGAGTCAACAGTTGAGTATTTGTCATCTGGAGCCCTGAATTTCCATTTGGGAAGGCTCTGGATATAATTTGTCAATTCTGAACAAATTTTTAATTCAGTTCTCTGTCTATATTAATTCATTCCACAAACCTAATATAAAACTTGCCAAATTTCCAAAATCATGTTATAGAGTACTGTGTGGTTCCTAAGGTGCCTAAGAAACAAAAATGATCACAGAGAAAGCATCATTAGGACCAAGCTTTATAATTTTGTCAATTCTCTGAAGAGGAAAACCAGCAAAGGCAAAAATATTTTTTATTTATTTTTTTATTTTTTGAGTTGGAGTCTCACTCTGTAACCCAGACTGGAGTGCAGTGGCACGCTCATGGCCATGCAGCCTCGGCCTGCTGGGCTCAGGTGATCCTTCCACCTCAGCCTTCCAGGTACCTGGAACAACAGGCATGGTGCCTAGCCCAAAAATATTCCTAGGACTACCTTAAAGGTATCGTGTATCACAATCCTTTGAAACTGACAAGTGCAAGAATGTATTAACATCTGCAAAACCGTGCGCAGCAGCTCACACCTGTAATCCCAACACTTTGAGAGGCAGAAGCAAGAGGACTGCCTGAACCCAGGGATTTGAGACCAACCTGAGCAACTTGGCAAGACGTCATCATAACAATAAATCAAAAATTTAGCCAGGTGTGGTGAAAGGCAGAGGGGGAAGGCTGACAAGCGAGCACGATGGCTGATGTCTATAATCCCAGCATTTTGGGAGGCAAGAGGATTGCCTAAGCCCAGGTGTACGAGACCAGCCTGGACAATGTGGTGAGACTTCATCTCTACAATAAATTTTTAAAAAATAAAGTTATCTGGGCTTGGTGACATGCGCCTGTAGTTCCAGCTACTTGGAAAGCCAAACCCGTAGGCCGAAGCTGAGGTGGCCCTGAGCATGCCACTGCACTCCAGGCTGGGTGACAGAGTGAGACTCCAACTCAAAAAAAAAAGAAAAAAAGAAAAAAAAATCTGTAACAAGAAGCACTGGATCATCACAGGAAAAGGCACAACTAAATATTGTCACATCAACCACCACCCAAAGAGGTGAATACCCCATTATAATAACTGTCTGTAAAGATATGGGCCATGATATGTTATGAGGTCGATACATAAGTTCTCAGTGTTTGGTTTTGGCACGGCAACACTGTGGTGTTGGGAGTCTACCATTTGTCATTTGGAGTGACAATGTTCTGAATACACCTTGCATTTTGCAGATTTGAAGAAAGTTAGTGCCATTTGTGAGAAAAGAAGATGAAGTGTCAAGTGGGAAAAAAGGAACACTTCCAACATATTCTTCTCTCTGAGCCTAACAGAGGAGTAAAGGCAGTGGAGGCAGCTCCAAACATTTGTGTTGTGTGCAGAGAAAATGCCAGTGGGAAGAGCACAGCAAGGAAACAGTTTTGTCGTTTGAAAGAGGGCCACTTTGACCTGAGTGATTCTCCACATTCAGGAAGATCATCAGGCTTTGATGAAGACTGTTTATACGCTTTGATCCATGAAGATCTACGTCAGTCAACCCAAGAATTGGCAAATGAACTGTGAGCAGTCAACCACTGTGCAACATTTGTATTCCACAGGCAAGCAAAAATTGTTATGAACTTATGCATCAACCCAATACATTGCTTAAGCTGTCTCAACAGCTAAAAATAGTAACAAAGATTATTAAGAACACCAATATACAAATTTTGATCTCCACTTTCCCCTCAACCATTTAACTAAAACATAAGCATGAGAAAGGGGGAAAAATCCTGAAGAAAGTAAGCACACTTCTAGAAGGTCCTTATATATGCAGAACATATTTCTAATACCAAAATTCAGGCCCCATGTTCAGGCAAGTACATGTATGGTGATTGGGACAGCAGGACACCAAATTCTTAAACCACACACAACTAGTCGCCAAATCTGCACCAAATGGTAACTATGTCAACCACCAATTCATGGTCCTAAGATGAAGCACAAAGCTAGCCAAAGAGAAAACAGGTTCACAGTCTCCTCAAGTGATTTAATAAGTCTCATGTAATAGGTAACAGCTCTGAGGGCAGTACACAGAGAGAAGGAAGAAGAATATTAATCAAATACATATATATATATTTTTTTGAGTTGGAATCTCACTCTGTCACCCAGGCTGGAGTGCAGTGGCAAGCTCATGGACACCGCAGTTTTGACCTACTGGGCTCAGATGATCCTTCCACCTCAGCCTTCCAAGTAGCTGAAACTACAAGCATGTGCCACCATGCCTGGCTAATTTTTTTTTTTTTATTTATTGTAGAGATGAGGTCTCACCAAGTTGCCCAGGCTGGTCTCGAACCCATAGGCTCAGGCAATCCTCTCACCTTGACCTCCCAAAGTGCTGGAATTATAGGTGTGAGCCACCTCACCAGGCCTTAACCAAACATTTTTGAGGAAAGATCAGGAAAATAGATAACAGATAATGGTATCTAAGTATTTGGTACTTTTGAAAAAAAAAAAAATCTCTGTTAAAAAGAAATAGCAAAGAGAGACAAATATTTACAACTTCTGAAAACTTATGTATTAATTTCTGGTGAAATTGTGTCAGATGGAGGAAACAGAGTAGCCATCATAAAAAAGTGAAATGTCTTTAACTGAGGAAACAAAAGTACAACGTTAGCATTATTTATAACACAAAGCACAAAACCACATTTCTCACCTGATCTTTGGAAAAAGCTTTGACATGAATATGTTTGACAGTCTGAACTACTCCATCATAAAATTTCACAGTGTAAGTACCTAAAATTCAAGAAGATATGATTTTAACTCACAATTTCATAAAAGCAGCAACTTGTTAAAGTATAAACACAAGTGAGCTCCAACTACATAATAAACTATGGGGGTTAAAAAATTATTTAAGAATCACATTCAGTCTTACTTATATCCAAGATAATAGTATGCTTGCCTTTATTGCTTAGTCAAGATTACCTTGTAATCTTTTTACCTTTGTAAATCAAAATTCATTTTTTAAAAAACCCTCATTTTTATAATGCTTCATTAAAATTTTTAAAATTTGCACTTAATTTAGGCCAAGAACAACAAGAAATAAAACAGTTAATGTGAGGCAAATGCATATTCATGTATTTATTTTTGTAATTAAGTCTTTAAAGTTCTGGGACTGGGGACAGTAATATCTTTCATTTTTTGAGTTGGGTCTCACTCTGTTGCCCAGGCTGGAGGGCAGTGGCACAATCATGGCTCACTGCAGCCTTGACCTCCTGGGCCCAGGCGAATCTTCTACCTCATGTCCTGCTAATTTTTCTTTTGTAGAGCCAAGGTCTCGCTACGTTGCCTAGGCTGGTCTCAAACTCCTGAGCTCAAGCAATACTTCCGCCTTGGTTCCCAAAGTGCTGGGAACACAACCATGAGCCAACTACGCTCAGCCTGGGAACAGTAATATATTTTAAAGATTAAAAGGAACACAATTGTTCTGCTAAAGGTATTGTGTTTCTAGAGACCACATTAATCTCAAAAGCCATATGAATTATCTTCATGCTACAATATTTTAAAATAGAGACTTGGCTAAAACACTACAGGCTGCCCACTATTTTGTCAGGTTTTTCCCATTAGAAAATAATTGTGGGCAACCCCCTCGGGTCCCCTCCCACTGTGGGAGTTTTTCTGTCCTCTTAATAAATCCAGCTTTAAAAAAAAAAAAAAAGAAGAAGAAGAAGAAAAAAATTGTTTAAATAAGGTTCCCTCCCTGCTGAAAAAGAAAAAAAACTGAAGTTGGAAACCCAAGTAATCTCACATTCCCAAATAAGGCATCCAACTACAGAAGTCTCATCAGTTGCACCCAAATCAAAACTTCCAAACTTTTGCATCTTAGAAACCATTCACGCCCTCCCCAATTTTGTCCTAGAGATTTAAAATACAAATCAGACCAGACACAGTGGCTCACACTAGTAATCCCAGCACTTTGGAGGTTGAGGTAGGAGGATCGCTTGAGCCCAGAAGTTCAAAGACTAGCCGGGGACATGGCAAGACCCCCACCTCTATTAAAAAAAAAATAAAAAGCAGAAGGAGAATATAAAATAAATAAATAAAATAAGAATCATAGTAGGCTAGGCTCGGTGGCTCAGCCTGTAATACCAGCAATTTTGGGAGGCTGAGGCGAGTGGATTGCCTGAGCTCGCGGGTTCAAGACCAGCCCAGGCAATTTGGTGAGACTTTGTCTCTACAATAAATCAAAAATCAGCTGGACAAGTATCGTATGCCTGTAGTTCCAGCTACTTGGAAGGCCAAGGAGGAACGATCACCAGAGCCTAGCAGGTCAACGCTGGGGTGGCTGTAAACGTGTCACTGCACTCCAGCCTGGAAGAGGGAGTGACTCCAACTCAAAAAAAAAAAAAAGAAAGAAAAGAAAAGAATCACAGTTAATCTTGTCAAGATTACCAATGAACCGCTTTAATCATGCAGTGGTTTACCGTGAATAAACATGTTTTTCTTTTCCGGACCAATTTCCCACCAGCCCCAATGCCCCCTCAAAATGCACTCAGACAAGAAGCCTGCAACAAAGAAATTAAAACCTCCTGGTTCCTCTTTGCACATTCTCTCCTCACACCACTCCACCTCCAGTCCAGGAGAGGGCCTCATCAGTGGCTACCCACCTGTACTAAAAAAAAGTCCAAGAGCCTGTCTCTCTAGTCAATGTCCAACGCAATCTTAGTCAAATAATATCCAAACCTTATTTCTCATTATCAGCATCCACTATTTATTAACTCCAAGTGACAAGCTACTTGCTACTCACTGAAACTGTGAATGTCACTTCTATTTCCACATCTTGATCATTCCTGCTGGGAATATGCCACTCACTGAACCTTACATGCCCAGTTCAAATGACTATAACAGTTCTGCAAATGCCTCCTGGCTTTCTAGCAACCGATGATTTCCTCCTGCTCTGAACTTTTCAAAGACTCACCTGGCATTGGACCTTACAGAGCTTCACACTTAAGTCCACCTTCATATAAGTACAGATTCCAACTCAAAAGCTCTTCGAGGCCAGAGACCACTCTGGTCTCATAACATTTTCTTCCTCACACAATGCCTGGCTCAGAGCAGACCAGTGCTTCTCAGTGTGGTCCCCATCCAGGTGATTCTGATGCACAAGTTTACAGGCACACCTTCCCCTAAATCTTTTCTTCTTAGCAGTTTTACATATTGGGGTTATGTTTTGTGGCCAACAATTTCCAGCAGCAGCATTTGCAACTCCTAGGAACTTGTTAGAAATGCAAGTTACCAGCCCCACCTCAGATATACTGAATCAGAAACTCTGAGAATGGGGCATAGTAAGTTCTCCAGGTGATTCTGATGCATTCCAAAGACAGAACCACTGCCATGGACAATTAGTAACTACCTAATGACCTTTACTCCTGGTAATTACAAAATAAAGGTGATTATTTATCACAAGTGTCACCAATACATAAAGAATGTGGCCAGTAAATAAAATATAAGGATATATAGTTATGCTGGGTTGGGTAAAACACCAACAATTAGATATCACAGGCTATGATAAAAGAAGCTTAAGGATAAAGGCATGAACAGTTCTCTATGTTAAGGCAGCTCAGCAATGACTTATGAGTACTTACAACAAAGTACTGGGTTCCTGTCTTTCCCTACCTATATTATAAGGGTGCTGGCAAGCAAGGTGTTAAATGATAAACAAGGCTGGACTATTTAATAATAAACAGACCCTTCTCAAGCAACCATGGTGCAGCTCTGGCTGATCTTGGGATGGAGGTAGGGGATGAGAGCTTCAAGAATCCAGTTCTCTACAAGCTGGAGAACCAGGGGGGGAAATCCAGTTCTCTCGAAATCTTAACTATTAAGTGTGCTTTGAACTTAGTTCATCATCTGTAAAATGAGAATGGGACTGATGGCAATAACCTTCTCATGTTTGTATGAAGACTAAATGAGATAAGGAAATTACCTAGCACAGGGTCCGCCACAGAGCAAGGGATCAATACCACCAAGTCACTTTAAAAAGGAAGCACACTGACATCAAAGACTATCTAGGCCAAAAAGAAAAAGAAAAGTTAAGCATAATCCCTCTCTCCCACCCCCATAGAAGGTAACAGCCAAATCAGCAGTTGCATGTGTAGGGCTAAATCTTCCTTTTATCCCTCTGCAAAAGCTTGTTCACATAGTACAAACCTCCTCAAATTTCAAATGTAGGATCAGTCAAACAAACAAAAAATAGGAACTGCTTCAGTCAGAGACTCCAGCAACAAGACCAATTCCATAATGTCTCCTGTGGTAAATGCAGACTTCAGGCACTGGCCCATAGGGGTTGAACTGGGGGGAGGGAGTAGCACATGACCCAAAAATATGAATTCTTTTTACAAAGCAGGAGAGGGTCTCCCTGCTCATTGGTAAAGAGCCACAAATCGTCGGGCTTGGTGACTCAGTCTATAATCCTGCGCCTTGGGAGGCTGAGGTGAGTGGACTGCCTGAGCCCGCGGGTTTGAGACCCGCCTGGGCAATTTGGCGAGACCTCAACTCTACAATAAATCAAAAAATTAGCTGGGTGTCGTAGCACGCGCCTGTAGTTCCAGCTACTTGGAAGGCTGAGGTGGAAGAATCGCCGGAGCCCAGCAGGTCAAGGTCCACTCCCGGCCACCGCACTCCAGTCTGGGCGACAGAGTGAGACTCCAACTCAAAAAAGAAAAAGAGCCACAAATCAACAGGGAGAGACACTCCCCATTTTGTTGTACATGCTAACCTACTTGTAGCTTTCCCAAAGAGAATGACTTACAGAGAAGAGTGACCTACTACTGGGGACACAAGGTCCTGACAGACAAGTGGCTCTGCTATCCTGTGTAAAAAACAGGAGCTGGTGCTGGACATGGTGGCTCACACCTGCAATCCCAGCACTTTGGAAGGTCTAGGTGGGAGGATTGCTTGAGCCCAGGAGTTCAAGATCAGCATAGAGAGACCTTATCTCTTCAAAAATAAAAATAAAAAAACTAGCTGAGTATGGTGGCACACACCTGTAGTCCCAGCTACTCAAGAGGCTGAGGCAGAAGGATAGCCTGAGCCCAAGAGGTCGAGGTTGCAGTGAGCCATGATCGTGCCACTGTACTCCAGCCTGGGCATCAGAATGAGACTCTGACTCAAAAAAACAGAAAGCTGGGCACAGTGGCTCATGCCTGTAACCCCAGTACTTTGGGAGGTGGAGGAAAGAGGAATACCTGAGCCCAGGGGTTCGAGACCAGCCCAGGCAACATGGCAAGACCTCATCACTACTAAATCAAAAATTTAGCCAAGTGTGGTGGTGCACACCTGTGGTACCAGCTACTTGGAAGGCTGAGGGAGAAGGATCGCCTGAGCCCAGCGAGTCGAGGCTGCAGTGGCCATGAGTTTGCCACTGCACTCCAGCCTAAGCAGCAGAGTAAGACTCTGACTCAAAAAAAAAAAAAAAAAAAAGAACCCAGGAGCTAAGCAGACCCAGCAAAAAGCTGTGGTCAGCTCACCAGAGATGGCTTCCAAACAGAGATTCCCTGAAAGCAAAACCCTGTTTCTTACAATAACATAAAATGAGGGCCTGGCTAGTCTATTGACTATGGCTACCTTCATACTAAATGATGCTTAATTTCCACTGCCAAAGAACCATTCCAGGCAAAAAGGGCTAAATAATACGGCACTATCTTCCCTATTTTCCAAGTGCTAACAAACCCTCTTAGGTATCTCTAAAGTAGTTATTTCATTCTGATTCAATTGTGCCAGACTCCCAGGACCAGCAGCCAATCTCCTCCATTCTGGCTAGAGTCTCCACCCACCAGCCTGATCAGTCAATGCTCAACAGAGTGATCAAGAAAGAGTGAAAGAAAGTCAGACTAAGCCTTCTAAAGATGATAAGACATGGCTTCACTATATCCCCAGCCTGCCAACAGCACCAAGATTTATAGGAAATAAAGGGGGCACCTTGCCAGCAGGTCTCTTCCTCACAGTACCATTGAACTATGGCGGTCTCTACTGCCAAAGAACCCAAGGCAGAGCAAAACATACCAGGGAAAGAATGCAAAGAACAAATCATGAAGAAGTAGAAAACTGCCTGCCAGTTCTAAAACAAAAACAGTACCTAAAAGTCATAATCTTCATCTTCAAATCAGGCACAGATATGAGCTCCCACAAAGTCAGCCTATCCCACTAACTTTCTGTTTCAGGATTTTCCCCTTCCCCGTATCCTCCACCTCCCTCATCCATTCCGTGGAGGAAACACAATTGAAAAGACTTTTTAAAATGTGTAAAACTAGTCGGGCTCGGTGGCTCAGCCTGTAACCTGCGCCTTTGGGAGGCTGAGGTAAGTGGATTGCCTGAGCCCATGGGTTCAAGATCCGCCTGGGCAGGCGAGACCTCATCTCTACAATAAATCAAAAAATCAGCCGGGCATGGTAGCGCATGCCTGTAATTCTAGCTACTCGGAAGGCTGAGGCGGAAGGATCACCGGAGCCCAGCAGGTCGAGGCTGCGGTGGCCGGGAGCGGCCACTGCACTTCAGTCTGGGCGACAGAGTAAGACTCCAACTCAAAAAAAAACAACAACAAAAAACAAATGTGCAAAACTCTGGTTGCCCAAGTTTAAAAGACATTAAAAATCCTAATTAACTATAGCCAATAATGTGGTCAATGATTTTAAGTCCTTAAATGATTGTTTCAAAAAGTTTCAGACCCATCCCACAGGAATCCTGTGGACAAGTGCCCAACTCCTCTAGAATTCACCTGCACCATTCTGTCCTGCCTCTTCCTGGCAACTCTATTTGAGCACTACTTCATTCGGCCATGAACTAGGTCCTTGTTTTTGTTTTTTTTTTTTCAATCCATCATATCAAGTTCTGGGTTCTGCAGATATTAAATATAATTAGTAGGTTACTAAGCCTTCAATGCCTCTACCAGGATACCCTACACCCCTCTAAGAGACCACTCCCAGGGCTCTAAAACCCCTGTTCCTCAACAATCTGCCCCTCTTTGGCCATTCTTTCATCTGATCTCCTTTGTCCAATTTCTGTCCTTTATGGATAGGCCATCACTAGAACAAAAGAGAAACGTTCCCTCTTTTCTTTCTGTTATCTCTTTTAGCTAAGAAGTTACTACCCAAAATTTTCAACAGATCTAAAAGACAACTATTTCCCCAAGGCAGCACACCTCCAATGGATATTATTCAGAGGAAAAACATAGCTTGATCAGCATAAATCAACCTATTGACTTTTCAGGAACACATTTACATACATGAATAACACCTATATCATATCACATGATTTCAAAAGCCATAAGAGATGATGTTTAATGTTGAAAACAAAAATCTGAAAGATAAAATGTCTTTTACTAAAAGGATTTGAGGCAGCTTAATAATACGTAAGCTTTCCTTTAACGTAAGTTTTACAGGTTGATGTGATACATGTAAATAGCAACAACAGGGGATTTTATTTTGAACATAAACTTATAAAAATAATTTTGGGGTCAGGTGCAATTTTGGGTACAGGTGTAGCTCACCTGTAATCTCAGCACTGTAAGAGGTGGAGGCGCAAAGATTGCCTGAGCCCATGGGATAGAGACCAGCCTGGGCAACACGGCAAGACCTCATCTATACAATAAAAATCAAAAAATTAGCTAGCTGTGATGGCACATGCCTGTAGTTCCAGCTACTTGGAAGGCTCAGGCGGAAGGATTGCCTGAGTCCAGCAGGATGAGGCTGCGGTGGCTATGAGCACACCACTGCACTCCAACCTGGGAAACACAGTGAGACTCCAACTCAAAAAAAAAAAAAAAAATTTAGGGAAGCAAGGAACTACCCAAAAACACTAGAATCAGTCATGAACTGGAAAATCAATGACTACATAGACAATTTTGAAGATACAACCTTGCTTTAGAGATTTATTTTCTACTATTTCAACCCATTCTCAGACAAAATTTGGTCAGCCCAAGGCCCAGCAGTTAGCAGAGTACTTACAAAAATACTTGAAAAACTTCAGTGAATGAAAAGTCAATCTGGCATCAAGAGACCCGACTGTCCTAAACATTCACTTCAGAGACCGTGGGCATACCGCAAACACTACGGCAGAATATGCTTAAAAAGGTGTCTCTGAGCCGGGCTCGGTGGCTCAGCCTGTAATCCCACGCCTTTGGGAGGCTGAGGTGAGTGGATGGCCTGAGCCCGCAGGTTCAAGACCCGCCTGGGAGCGAGACCTCATCTCTACAATAAATCCAAAAATCAGCCGGGCATGGTAGCGCACGCCTGTAATTCTGGCTACTCGGAAGGCTGAGGCGGAAGGATCACTGGAGCCCAGCAGGTCGAGGCTGTGGTGGCCAGGGGCGGCCACTGCACTCCAGTCTGGGCGACAGAGTGAGACTCCAACTCAAAAAATAAAAATTAAAAAAAAGGTATCTCTGGAACCCAGACTCTGTTATCGGAGTACTAAGATTCTGACCATATATGTAATATTAACCATATAACCCTCTGCCTACCCTTGTTCTAGCAAAATGAGCCTCCTTGGGTCCAGTTCTCTGCCTGTCTCTTCATGTGTTCTCAACTCTGGCAAAGACAACCCAACTCAGTGTTCCAACTGCTAGCATCCCAGTCCCCACTAGAGACTGACATTACAGACCCTGAAACCCTGAATCACACAAAGCACATTTTAAAATGTCTGTCAGAGTTCATTTACTTTCTAGGTTATTCACAAATAAGTAAAAGGAATATTAAGAGTTATTTCTTACACAGTAAGAACCTGCACACTTCCCAGCAGAGGGACATAAGAACTACGACTGTCTTAGAAAACTACAACTGAAATGTGGTGGACAGAGTCAGACTACCTTTTTTAATCTAGTTTTCTTTACAACTATAATCTCTTCCTAACTCCTGACATAGTGATTAATTTGAAAAGGATTTGTAAGCAGTAAATAATGCTGAAAACATACTATCAAACTCTAATATTGCAAACTACCCCCGTAAGTCATGAGCAATACAACTATAAATGCCTTACCATCCTTGTTAACAGCAGTGACTTTGGCCGGGTAAAAACGACAATCAGACCAGCAAGCAAGGACCTGCTCGTTTATTTGAAATTCCTAAAAAACATTAAAAAAAAAAGATCCGGTTACCAACCCAATTTCATAGGATACACACTGTACCAAATTCACAAAAGATGCTGAGATTGATAAGAACGGGAAGGGAAACTGGCTATCAGGATGGAGGAAGATGCTTCTGCTCTTTAGCACTGGGAGTTGCTATGGTTTGTGCCTGGCAAAACTCACTGAAGTTTAATCATCAATGCAGCAGTGTTGGAGATGGGGCCTAATGAGAGGTATTTGGGCCAGATTCCTTAGGGTTAGATAAATGCTAGGAGTGAGGTATCACTCTCCTAGGAATAGATTAGCTCCCAGGAGAATGGATTCGTTCCCAGGAGAGCAGGTTGTTATAAAGCAAGGTTCCTTCTCCTGTTAGGTCCCTCTTGTCTCTGCTACTCTTAAATTGAAAAGAAATTTTTTTTTTTTTTTAGAGAGAGGCTCTCACTCTGTCACCCAAACTAGAGTGCAGTAGCACAATCTCAAAATTCCTGGGCTCAAGCGATCTTCCCACCTCAGCCTATAGAGTAGCTAGGACCACAGTTTTTGTAGAAACAAGGTCTCACTATGTCGCCCAGATTGGTCTTGAACTCCTCCTGGCATCAAACAATCCTCTCACCTCAGCTTCCCAAAGCACTGGGGTTACAGGCATGAACCACCAAGCCCAGCCACTTTCCCTCCCTTTAACCCTTCGCCATGTATAACATAGCATGAAAGAAGCTAGCACCATGCCCTTGGACTTCCTAGTCTGCAGAACTGTGAACTAAATAAACCGCTTTTCTTTTTTTTGAGTTGGAATCTCACTCGGTCGCCCAGACTCCTGGCCACTGCAGCCTCGCCTGCTGGGCTCTGGCGATCCTTCCGCCTCAGCCTTCCGAGTAGCTGGAATTACAGGCATGTGCTACCACGCCCGGGTGATTTTTTGATTTACTGTAGAGATGAGGTCTCGCTGCCCAGGCGGGTCTTGAACCCGCGGGCTCAGGCAATCCACTCACCTCAGCCTCCCAAAGGCGCGGGATTACAGGCTGAGCCACCGAGCCCGGCTATAAACTGCTTTTCTTTACAAATTAGTCAGATTAAGACAGGAGTCAAAACAGGAGGACTGGAACACAAGACCTCAATAAGCCAAGGCGGCTGGGCAGGCATAGGACAGCACTGACAACAAGTCTAACCTATCCAGGATACTCACTGAAAACAAGTCTAAAGCCCAGGACTACCAGGAAACATACCCAGTATACATTATAGAAGAAATGAGGCTACTTCATCTTCAGGGAAACAGCATGTGATGCCATCCACAGCTCTAAAAGGTCTTTTGCCAGGGGAAGCACCCATTCACTTTCAATATTTTACAGTATCTTCCCAGCACACATTTTGCACTGATAAAGTTTACAGAATGAATACTGAATATGAATACTGAACAATCAAATGAAACAATACTGAACAATCCTAAAAAAAGGCGAGGAGGAGGCAGCAAGAGTTTAAGTTCCCTGATCAGTGTCAAAATGGAAAACAGAAGACAGGGCTGAGTCAGATCTAAAGTGAGCAGGACTATTACAGAAGCCTCCATGCCTGTTTTAAAAAGTTAAAACTCATACTTCATACTTCATTCTGAAGTCAGTAAAAACTCTGGGCACAGTAATAAAATTTAGAAAAATGGAATATAGTCCAATCAATTCCAAGTTCTTTGAGAGCTTATAAAAGACCTCGCATATGAGACTAGTACAATGCTCAACATGGAATTATCAATTAATGAGTGATCTAGATGTCTAGAAAATCTAGAATACCAAAGTATTCTAGATACAGTGGAGCTATAATCCATTCATTCATTTATTTAACAAATATTTGCTGAAGATCTACTATATGGCACACAGTGTCCCAGAGGCTAATGATACAGTGGTATAAAGGAGAAATAAGGTCCCATTCATCATCAATGCAGCCTCAACCAAGTTAGTTTACGGAATGTCCTATCAATCACATCATCCAAATGGATGATAACTGGAATTCTTCAAGACCCCTCAGTGTCACAGAAATCTCAGAGTTACACCTACAGGCCTAAATGACCTTCACACTGAATATCAAAGTTGAGATCACAAATCACCCAACGGCTGCCCATGCACATTACAGAACCTCCCATGCTTGTTACTCACAGAAGATCCATCCTCTTCATGCAGTCCCTCTTTCCTCAGCTGTATTTTCTCTAAGGGGCGTAAATAAGGACTGTCCCAGCAGAACCACTCATCATAACGATGGTTCCAACGCTTGAAATGGATGAGCACTTTTCCTTCTTCGTAGTCAATGTCTTCTATATGAGCTGGATACCTGAGTCAGAAAAAAAATTAAAATTCCTTTAATACCCACCCCAAATATCCAAATATGCAAACGGTACACTTCCAAACTTCTTCCCAACAGAGAAAGTCCTAAAGGTAGGGACTATGTAATTGGGTCAAACAACAAACTGTGTAGGGTAACAGACATTAAGTTCAAATTCCAAACTGGATATTCCTTAGTTTATAAACTTTTTTTTTTTGTGTTGAAGTCTCACTCTGTCACCCAGACTGGACTGCAGAGGCCGCTCCCCACCGCAGCCTCGACCTGCTGGGCTCCAGTGATCCTTCCACCTCAGCCTTCCACGTAGCTGGAATTACAGGCATGTGTTACCACGCCCGGCTGATTTTTTGATTTATTGCAGAGATGAGGTCTCGCTGCCCAGGCGGGTCTCGAACCCGTGGGCTCAGGCAATCCACTCACCTCAGCCTCCCAAAGGCACGGGATTACAGGCTGAGCCACTGAGCCCGGCTAGTTTATAAACTATTAAATTAACCTTTCAGGGCCCGAGTTCCAACACATAAAGCAGAAGAAGCACAATGGGTTGTAATGTGGGTAAAATGAAATGATGGATATAAAAGACCTGAGCACAAAGGACACAGGAACAAAACATTTAACAACTAAGCTATATTTTACGTGTGCCAATAAATTAGAATGACCATGCAACCCAGACTGTATCAGTCAGTCTCAATTTTACACGTTTTGCAACTCATAATAGAATACTGTGCAGCTGTCAAAAAGAACAAGAAGCCAAGCACAATGGCTCATGTCTGTAATCCCAACATTTGGGAGGCTGAGGCAAGAGGATTACCTGAGCCCATGGGTTCGAGATCAGTCTGGGCAACATGGCAAGACCTCATCTCTACAAATAAAAAATAAAAATAAATTAGTGTGCACCTGTAGTTCCAGCTACTTGGAAAGCTGAGGCAGAAGGATCGCCTGAGCCCAGCAGCTCGAGGCTGTGGCCATAAGCGTGACCCTACACTCCAGTTTGGATGACAGAGTGAGACTCCAACTCAAAAACATAAAATAAAATAAGAACAAGATGGGGCCAGGCACGGTGGCTCAAGCCTGTAATCCCAACACTTTGGGAGGCTGAGGCGAGAAGAGTGCTTGAGTCCAGGGGTTTGAGACCAGCCTGGGAAACTTTGTGAGACCTAGTCTCTACAATAAAAAAAAAAAAAAAAAAGTTAGCCAGGTGTAGTGGTGCATGCCTGTAGCTCCCACTACTTGGAAGTCTGAGGCGGAAGGATCACCTGAGCCGAGCAAGTCAAGGCTGCAGTGGCCATGAATGTGCCATTGCACTTCAGCCTGGGCAACAAGTGACACTCCGACTCAAAAAGAAACAAAAGAACAAGATGATTCTATATGGAAAGTTTACCTAAAATATACTATTATTTTTGATAATGTAGAACACTGTATGATAAATTATTATTTACTTTTAAAAGAAGATGAAAAAGAATATATATTCACAAGGAGACTCCCGCATCAAAAAAAAAAAAAAAGTGGAATTAATTTTTGGAGGATAGGTCCCTTATAATACAGGTTGCTCCTGTTAGGTTCTAGGAATCCATCAGCATCAGTGTACCAGCTGGCAATGTTGTGAGAAACAGTGTTCAACTTCGGTGAATTGTTTTTTGGAGATTCTTTCAACACATTTGCCCATTTCATGATGGGTGATTTTATGAGTGCACCTGTCCACACCACGCAGAGTGTTCAGCAGTTTTTCACCAAATACAGCATGACCCCTGTGCCTCACCCTCCCCTATTCACCCAATCTCACTCCAAATGACTTTATTTTGTTTCCCCAATGAAAAAAGTTCTCACAGGAAAACTTTCTGCGATGTGGTACAGGTGAAACAAAAAGCAGCAGAAGCACTAAAGTGGCATCAAAATTGACAAGTTCAAAACTGTTTTGAGCAGTGGAAAAAGCATCTTGATATGTGTATTGCATCAAATGGACAGTAATTCGAAGGTGGCAGAAATTTAAACATGTGAAAATAAATATACAATTTTTTACAAATAAATTTTGGGTTTTTTGGGTCCCCCACAAATATCTGAAAGATGCACAAGAAACTAACAACAATGGTTATTTGTGGAAAAGTGTGGTCAGTTCAGTAAAAGGGCTCTTTCAACCTCAATTCTACCCTTCTTCTAGACTGAGGGTTGGGAAAACCAACAACTACACTTCCCTGACTCCCTTTCAACTGGGAATCAAAGTCATAGAGGTCCTTGGGTTAGCAGCCAGATCCAGTACACAGGTGCAGGGTCTCTCAAACTTTCACATACATGTAAACATCAGAAAATCTTGTTAAAATGAAGATTCGGATTCAGGAAGCCAAACTAGGGCATAAGAGTTCTAACAAGATGATGCTGATGCTGTTGGTCTGCAGTAGCAAGGGTCTAATGTGTAGTCAGCAGCTTCATGAATGTCAAGCAGCAACGGTACAGGTGGCAGTGGTAGCAGTGTCTTCTTGACCACCAGATCACAGCTCTGATGGTGGGCCTTTCAAACTGATATTCTAAGGGCTGCCTCCTTGAGGCGCACTCCTCCAACCTTTCCAACAACGTAATAAGAACCCAATGTGTCAAATTCTCTAGTGGTTAAAATACCCAGGGTGAATTCTGTTGCCAGCATTTATTACTAACACAAGAGAAAACTGTGTGTAAGGGAAGGAAAGGGAAAAAGTGGAAGGGAGACTTTTTGCAGTATACCTTATACTACTTTTTTATTTTAACCATATAAATATATTGCTCACTCCCGAAATAAATAGTTAAAATAAGGAAAAATATATAATTGTTCTCTGAAATATACTTGTATTAGCCAGATAGTTATTCTAGTTTGGAAAACGCTTAGGTTCTATCTATATTTTCTCCCTCCAACTTGGATTTTTTTTTTTTTTTGAGTTAGAGTTTCACTCTGTCGCCCAGACTGGAGTGCAGTGGCCGCTCCTGGCCACCGCAGCCTCAACCTACTGGGCTCCGGCCATCCTTCTGCCTCAGCCTTCCGAATAGCTGGAATTACAGGCGCACGCTACCACACCCGGCTAATTTTTTTATTTTATTGTAGAAATGAGGTCTCACTGCCCAGGCAGGTCTCGAACCTGCGGGCTCAGGCAATCCACTCACCTCAGCCTCCCAAAGGCACGTGATTTCAGGCTGAGCCACCGAGCCCGGCTGGATTTTCAATGTTTTCTTCCTTTCCTGAACCCAGCACCTAGTATGGTGCTGTACTAATAAACACAAGCCACCTAAATGAGCAGGCCTGCTTTCCTGTATCTGTATACCGTGTTCTCTTCAATCCTACAGTAGTGTCCACTAAGGCAGTTTGCTAGGCTTCAATTTATCACAATACTTTGCATATACTGAGCATTCAATAAATGTTCAGCAAATAAAATCCACTCTTATGCTTCCCAAAGGTCACATGTCATTTCACTGTTTTAATTCCAAGGTTCTCAGACTCCAGTTACCTATTCCAGTTTCACTCCGCAAGGTCACTTCACGTGGATATTCCTCACAGAGGACTGACAGGGTGTGTCTTTCAAAATTCCTGATGGTACTCTGCATATATCAGTTGCTCAAAAATATTAACAGAAGAAATAAACAGGCCTGAAACTAGTCTTCCTACTCCAATCAAGCTGACAAGTGCTGTAAATACAAGACTTGTTTATGAAAAGGATTCCTGCTGGGCTCGGTGGCTCAGCCTGTAATCCCACGCCTTTGGGAGGCTGAGGTGAGTGGATTGCCTGAGCCCGCAGGTTCGAGACCCGCCTGGGCAGCGAGACCTCATCTCTACAATAAATCAAAAGATCAGCCAGGCGTGGTAGCGCACGCCTGTAATTCCAGCTACTCGGAAGGCTGTGGCGGAAGGATCACTGGAGCCCAGAAGGTCGAGGCTCACTCCATTCTGGGCGACAGAGTGAGACTCCAACTCAAAAAAAAAAAAAAAAATATATATATATATATAGAACTTTTATTTAAACTGAAATCACATTCAAACTTTTGGTATTTAAATATACCTTTTAAATTAAAAGGATGACAGCTGTTTTGTTTTTAATACCCTTACTAATATTATGCAGCCATCAAAAGAAACAAGGCAACCAGGAGTGGAGGCTCACGCCTACAATCCCAGCACTGTGGGAGGTAGAGGTGAGAAGACTTCCTGAGCCCAGGATTCAAATTCAGCCCGGATTACGTGATGTCATCCCTACAATAATTCAAAATATTAGCCAGGTGTGGTGGTGGTCACCTGTGGTTTAGCTATAGCTACTTGATCACGTCACTATACTCCAGCCTGGGCAGCAGATTGAGACTCCAATTCAAAAAAAAAAAAGGAATAAGGCAGTTCCATGTAATGATTTGAAAAGATCTCTAAGAAAAGTGGGAGAAAAACTCAAGACATAAAATAGTATTTCAATCTACTACCATTTAAGTGAGAGAAAGGAGCAAGCCAACACAATCTTTAACTGTTTTTATTTATTTATTTTTTTATTTTATTTTATTTTATTTTATTTTTTGAGTTGGAGTCTCACTCCGTCGCCCAACCGGCTGGGCTCAACTGGCTGGGCTTCGGGGATCCTGCCACCTCAGCCTTCCGAGTAGCCGGAATTACAGGCACGCGCTACCATGCCCGGCTGATTTTCTTTAACTGTTTTTAAATGTGTGAGCTATCTCTAGAAGGATTGGTTTGCTTCTTAGGAGACAAACTGGATAGTCAAAGAACTGCAGAGGAAGCATGAGATTTATTTTTATCAGTGTATATCATTTTGGATGTTTTGAATGCTAAACTGTGAGCATGGATTAATTACAAAAAGTATATAGGCCAGGCGCAGCAGTTCATACCTGTAATACTAGCACTTTGGGAGGCCGAGAGAAGAGGACTGCTTGAGTCCAGAAGATCAAGACTAGAAATGGGTAACATAGTGAGACCCTGTCTCTACAAAACATACAAAAATTAGCTGGGCATGGTGGCACACGCCTATAGTCCCAGTTAC